AGCCGGCGACTAAGTGGCCAAATCCCGCTGACTCGAGAGCTGGAGACCAGAAGGTCAGCACTTACAACAAGTGTGGCAAGGGACATGAGGGACCCTGTCCGACGGGGACCATTTGCTACATGTGTGGCAAGGAGTTGCATATGGCGATGGATTGCCCCAATGGATTTCGGGTTTGCTTCAATTGCAACCAGACGGGTCATTTGAGGGTTGTGTGTCCACAGATTGCATCTAGGGCGGTTCAGACTCCGGACCCCGCGACCCTGCGTATTACTTATGGCCGGCAGGGGAAGGCCAAGGCTCCGAGGGCTCGAGGGAGAGCATTTAAGTTGACAGCAGAAGAGGCCAGAGCCGCTCCAGACATCGTGGCTGGTATGTCTTCTTTATTTATCTATGTTGCTTATGATATTGCCCATGATAGTACTTTCCTTGTGAATTTTATACCTGCACTTGTGTTGTTTGACTCGGGTGCGAGTCGGTCTTTTGTGTCATCATCTTTTTGTTGTGGTTTTAGTATTGCGTGGGAGGCCTTGTGCAGACCATTGAGAGTCTTTATACCTGATGAGCATTCCGTCTCCGCTACTAACATCTATTGGGGTTATGTGCTAGAGATTGTTGGTGTTGGGTATCCGATAGATCTTATCCCTATTACGATGGGAGATGTATGTGTTATTGTGGGTATGGATTGGTTAAACCGGTTTGGGGCTCTGATTAACTGTGAGCGACAGTTGGTGACAGTTCGAGATCCTAGCGCGGGAGTGCTGACCATTTACGGCGAGGGTACTAGGTCGGGATCAACTTTCTGTTCTGTCGCCAGGGCAAGGAAGAGTTTACAGCATGGGTGTTTGGGTTATCTAGCATATGTAGTGGATACCCGGGTTGGCGAGAAGAGATCGGTTTCCATTTCTGATGTTCTTGTTGTGCGTGATCTACCTGATGTTTTTCCAGAGGAGTTACCTGGTATGCCTCCTAAGAGACAAGTAGAGTTTCGGATCGATCTGATCCATGGTGCGGCGCCAATTTCCAAGGCACCGTATCGTCTTGCACCTCATGAGATGTAGGATTTATCTTCTCAGCTTCAGGAGTTGTTAGGAAATGAGTTTATTCGACCGAGCAGTTCTTCATGGGGAGCACCAATCCTTTTTGTCAAAAAGAAGGATGGTTCATACCGGATGTGTATTGATTATCGGGAAGTGAACAAGCTGACGGTGAAGAACCGTTATCCGTTGTCGAGGATCGATGATCTCTTTGATCAGTTGCAGGGGGGCATCTTGGTTTTCCAAGATTGATCTGAGGTTTGGCTACCATTAGATGAGAGTGCGAGAGGAGGATATTCAGAAGACGACCTTCTGAACTCGTTACGGGCATTACGAGTTCATGGTCATGCCTTTTCGGATTGGTCGGTAATCATCTTCATCGATGACATTTTGGTCTATTCGAAGACCAGAGAGCAGCATGAGGAACATTTGTGCGAGATTCTTGGGGTTTTGAGGATGGAGAGGCTATACGCCAAGTTTTCCAAGTGGGATTTTTGGTTGTGCGAGGTTCAGTTTCTAGGACACCTCGTCAATCAGAATGGTATTTTGGTTTACCCAGCCAAGATAGAGGCAGTGATGCGGTGGGACGCGTCGAATTCTCCATCTTAGATTCGGAGCTTCCTCGGTTTGGCAAGATATTATCGGAGATTCATTCGAGATTTCTACAAGATTGCAGTTCCTCTCACTAAGTTGATGAGGAAAGATGTTGTGTTTAGTTGGGGGCCTAAGCAGCAGGCGTCATTCGAGACTCTTCGCCAGAGACTTTGTGAGGCTCCATTACTTGCCCTCCCTGAGTGAATTGAGGATTTTGTGGTCTACTGCGATGCATCTATTTCAGGGATGGTTGATGTGTTGATGCAGAGGGGGCATGTGATTGCATATACTTCGAGGCAGCTGAAGCCTCGTGAAGCGAAGTATCCTACCCATGATTTGGAATCGGGGGCAGTGGTTTTCGCCCTCAAGATTTGGCGCCACTATCTTTATGGAGTTCATTGTACCATCTATACGGACCATAAGAGCCTGAGAGGTCTTATGGATCAGCCTAACGTGAGCATGAGGAAGAGGAGGTGGTTGGATGTAGTGAAAGGTTATGACTGTGAGATCCTGTACCACCCAGGCAATGCCAATGTGGTGGCCGACGCCTTAAGCTGGAGGGCGATCAGTACCCCGATTCAGGATGTGTGTTTGAGGATGAATGTGATGACCCTAATTTTGGAAACGATCAAAGAAGCGCATTCGGAGGCCAAAAAGGAAGAAAATCGGAAAAGTGAACGGGTGATCGATCAGGTTTCAGCCTTTGATATCGACAGCAGGGGCTATTGACTCTTCACGGGCGGGTTTGGTGTCGTATGCGGGTGGGGCTCGACGGGATTATGGAGGAGGCTCACAAGTCGATATTCTCCATTCGTTTGGGGCTACAAAGATGTATCTTGACCTAAAGCATAGTTATTAGTGACCGTGGATGAAAAGGGATGTGGCCTGGTTTGTAGAGTGATGCTTGACCTACCGGAAGGTCAAGGCCGAGCACCAGTGCTCTCACGGCAAGTTGCAGTCTTGGGATCCCATACATGCTACCCAAAATGCATCAATGATATCAATAAAGTTGCTAACTTTATGGATCCCATGCATGCTGCCCAACCCAACCATGAAAATAGAAGCATAAATCTTAGATCTAGCATGCATAAGAGATAAAGGCAAGAGCTTTAGACCTTACCAAGAGCAACAAAAAATGGTGAGGATGAGACTTGCTTGCCAAAACAATAAACCAAAAGAACCTTCTTCTTCATCAACGAGCTAAAACCAACCAAAATGAGCCCCAAAACCAAAATGAAGCCTAAAACCTTTTTCTATGAACCCTAATAGAAAAAGAGGGAAATTAGGGTGGATTGAGAAGAGGATCAGAAGACACTCATTAGAGCAATAAGATTTGATACCATATAATCAAATGATATTGAAATTGTATATTGATTGCTTAAGTAGTACACGTACACTTGAATGGCATATAAAGCCAATGTATGCTAACACACATGAGAATGAATAGGAAAGTATAGAAGAATATATAGTTGTGATTGACTAATTAATAATCTAAATATATAACATATATGGAGTATATCTTATCTCTTGATAGTCATCAACTATATAGGGTTGTGTAAAGGGATGATTTTTCAGTCCTACTTTCGGTTACGCATATCTAAGAACAACTTCTGAAAGTATAGCTTTCCTTGGAAAAGAAACCTACATCGGTTCATCATTTGGCAACCCCTTAGACCCACCAACCTTGTTTTCGTTTTGTTATTAAGCTGAAGGAGAATCTCAACCCTTCATATAATTCTTAACAACGCCATCGATGCTTTAAAGATGGTGTGCTTTTCGGCTACCTATGTGTTTACCTTGGTTTTAAAAATCCCAAAGGGATCCGATGAATTCCTATCTGATGCATTATGCCTTACTCTTATCATCAAAAGCCTCTGGTTTCATTAAATTATCTTCATAATCAATCAAGGAGTGAACACTAAAATCATCTTCCATATGAAAGAAACCATGTACCTCTCTTCCATTCTTCCCATCATTTGGGATGTTACTCCCCAAAGAAAACATCGAAACCTACATGAGAGCCTCTTTCACACGAACATGAAAAGATTTCCCATCAATCTTGGTAACTACCACCTCAGAGATGTTATCTTAGAAATTCGATAGCATACGATATGTACCACATTACCCCATTTAGCAATGATTTTACGAAAACTATCCTTGCTACATGAACGTAGTGAAACCCCCTAACATCAACCAATATCAATCTATCTGTAGACATGAAATACATATCCAAAGGCCTTTTGCCAATAACTAATGATCTATCGCACTGTTCTTTAAGAAATTTAGACATGTTATTGTCTTCTTGAACTCAAAAGTAACCTACAGCCCACGAACAGAGTATATGACCACATCATCCAAACCTTCAACCATGCAAATCTTTCTAAGATTCTGGAGAGTCAAATAATTACTTCCTTTCCCTAAACATACCCGATTAAAGTCTCTCTCTTCCACCATAAAATCACCAACCTTTAGATCAACCACAACACTCGAGCCCTCTTCAACCTTTTGCTTAGCATTACCATTTAGTCCTTTGACAACATTAGCATAGGAACCACAATGAATGCTTGTCAATTCCATTGTATGCATAGATATGACATCCTCACTTCATTAGGTTTTGTTTTCCACTCATTTATGACCTAGAAAATCAAGGAATAGATGCAAACAATTTGTGAAACCCAAACAGTGTGTCAAAAAATTCCTTAACCAACTCATGCACCCCAGTCTAACGAACAAAACCAAATTGTTTGCATATCCTTGACATCTTTTTGCAATAAAAATGTCAAATGTCTTTCCAATCCTACCACACACCATCCATGTCATTGGATTTAACTGAAATGGTAAATTTGTAATATAAATCGAGTGAATATTAGAACTTAAATGAACCGGTCCTGATGATCCTCCTTGCGGACCCAACTTTAATTCTCGAGTAACACTTTCCTTCCTCTTGTATCGTACATCTGTCCAGTCTTCATCAGCCCCCCAACGTGAACCATTCTATGAATTGCAGCCTTCAGTCCAGTTCATAACAATCAGATTGACCCCCCATCCCCCGAGGAAGAAGTTAGTCGGAATCGAAGATGTTGCCGCCATGTAGGGATTTTGTGTAAAAAATAGCTTTTTATCGTGTGTGTCACTATGTCAAAAGTGTAAGGAGTGTTTAAATTGATAAAATAAAATCATGACTTTTATTTTTATTTTAAATTTTCTAGAGATTTTCATAATGTTTAAAGGCCCACTAACTCCATTTACAAATAAAAAATAAAAATATCTTTTACGTAATGAACTTTTGTACAATTAAAATGTATAACATATATATGACATAAGTATATACAATAACATTTAGATTATACAATTAAAATGTTTTTCTGAAAACATGATTATATATGCAATTGAAAACAATGCAAATTGTCGCATTACAATAAGGAATTAATTCAGTAAAACATATGATTCATTTACAAGTTTTGACGTCAAGAAACATAATTAAAAAATATGTTTATTTCGGATGATCTGTGATGTGTGATTAGCTTATACGACGACAAATAGTGATTCCGTCACCCACTGGAAGCTGACAGATCTCTACTCTTGGATCAGCAGCCAGGGCTTTGTTGAGCTCTAACACGAAGTCTCTGTAATACCTAACATACTTCCGAAGTGGGGCATCTGCCGGTGCCACCAATGACCCATTCCAAAGGGTATTATCGTAGCCAATCACTCCCCCAATTTTAACAAGATCGATTAACCTTTTGTGGTAGTTAAGGTAGTTGTCTTTATCGGCATCCACAAAAATGAAGTCAAACGATCCATGGAATTTTACCTGTAGAAAATAAATTACAAATAATTGTTAAATTATATTTGCAGAAGTAGAAAATAACAATATAAATGTCTCGTAAATCAAGCTTGTAAGTACTTACGTCTTCTACCATTTGGTCAAGAAGAGGAAGAGCAGGGCCTTCTCTAAAGTCAATCTTGTGAGCAACACCGGCTTTCTCAATAATCGGAAGTCCAATTTCGTAATTTTCACGATTTATATCCAAGGCCAATATCTTCCCATCTTCTGGTAGAGCAAGGGCAGTAGAAAGAAGAGAATAACCGGTGTAAACACCAATCTCCATTGTGTTCTTAGCATTTATGAGCTTGAGAAGTAAGTTCAAGAACTGTCCTTCATCAGCAGACGTCGTCATGAGATTCCTGCATTTATATTACAAGTAAAAGGAATCAGAAATGCCTTTTGGGCTATGATTAATATGTTATAAAATTAGGAAATGCATGCACTTAATTATGACTAACCAAGGATGTTTAGCAGTGACCTCACGAAGCTCTTTCATGGATTCTGGCTCTCTCGGGTAAACACTGGTTTCAAGAATGTATTGGTAAAGTGCATCGCTTTGAAGGAGACTCTTGTGGCCAACTTCTTGGTGTTTTGCAGGCTGAGATTCTCCTGTAGCTGCCATTATGAGGAATCTCTGGTGTGTGAGTATGAAATGGAGAGTGATTATTAATGGTGGGTAGAAGTGAAGTTGAAATGGAAGGATGGGGCTTATGAGATTATATAGGGAGTGGGGATGGAGTATCGGAAGGTGGTGGAGTGGTGCGGTTGTGGTCTTGTTGGTGGGGTTGGTGAGACTTGAGCTTTCGTTGCTGATGTGGACTTCGCCAACCATTGTGGAAACCAAGAGTTGGTAAAACCCACTTGTTTTATTTTAATTTTATTTTTTATAATAAATTTATATACCAATTTATATAAATATTGCCCTTCATTTTTTTTCCCCTACTGCCATTTTCTTTTTTTCTCTTGGAGATATGGTGCATCAAAGCCTTTTTCATTGCGCATTAAAAGATAGATATAACATGATTCTAACAATCGAGGAATAGAGTGATTGATGTGGCGATGAAAAATGAAGTAGAAGTATAATAGATACTCTGGTTATGGAAACTATTTTTTTCTCAAACGTCTTTCAAAATACTAATTAATAGTATAATACAAATTTAGTTTGAATTCATATTTTTAGTATTTTTAACTTTTTACTAATATAAGTAATATAAGTACCATCATAGAGAACACTTCAGTTATGAATACCATATTAATGTCACTGATTTATAGGAAAATGACTTTTAATATACAAGTAGTTTCTGCATAATATATTTGGTCCATGCATGGATGCATTGAAGACCTTTTTCTTATATAAAAGACTTTAGTGGTCATGTTTTTTTAATTTTGATTCAGATTATTTTGAACTACTATCCACCTTTTTTTATTTCATTTTTAAGGGAAATAGTTCCCTATTATTTCCCTTAATTGACAAAAGCAAGCCAAACTCAAAGTTTGACCATCTTAACTCAAACAATGATTGAAGTGGGTTGAAATTGTTTTTGTTTGTATTTCAGTTAATTATACTTAGGGATTGTCAATCGTCATATTAATCTGAATTGTTTAACGGAATAGATGGGATTTAGTTATTTGCTTCAAATATTTAGATTTTTAGAACAAACTATACACTACTAAGAAAATGGTGGAATTTCGATGGCCAAATAATGTGTTGAAAACGTTTATTACTGGTAGAATTCTAACATACATAAATATATCTGACAGGTCCTTTAACAACTTAATTACCAATAGAAAATTCCATCAGTAAGTAATTATCAACGCAATTTCGACATAAACATTTATGGGACATTTTCAACGGAGACCGATGGATTTCAATCTTAAGTCTACTCGGTATGGGCAACGCCATAAGGCGTTATGCTGATTTGGCAGCTCCCATAACGGCGCCATAACACCGGAACACCGCCCCCCTCTCATGTTATTTGGTGTTATGTTAAGAAATGTTACCATGGCCACGGGAAGTAACGTGAGAATCAACCAATCAAAAGTCATTATCTCACTCTCTCTCTAACTCTCTTTGTATCTCTTAACATGTTATAACATTTGCACACCATTTCCTACATAAATCAAATGGTGTTAAATATGACATGGCATATGAGTTGGCAAAATTTGGGTATGATAACATGTCTTAACATGTTGCCCACACCCATCAGCCTAACTGTTTCCAACAAATTACCGACATATTTTTACCAATGTATGTCACTTTCGAATGTTTCCAACAAAATCATTTAGTGACGGTTTTTAGTTGTTTTTCCTTTAATAAATGCAGTTCAAAAACAAAAGAAAAATAAAATAAAATCTAGATTTTTTTCCCCAAATTTTAGAAAAAAAAAATCCAATACAATAATCAAAAATTAGTTTACAAGTTAGAACCACAATGATACTAAGATAGGTGTTAGAATCAATAAAATTTTAAATCATATTTGCACTTGTATGATTAAAAAGTAATATCAGCGAAAGAATCGATCTTTAGACTTTTTTTAATTCATAAATAAACCAATATAGACATGTGGAGGGGTACATACTTTTTTTATACTTGTATCTTTGTATATCCTCCTTTTCAAATCCTTCTCATATCCTTCTTTTCTCATCCCTCCGGTCCTCCCTATAAAAAAAAAGTGTGTAACCCTCCAAATAAATTGATACATGTCCCTTTATTGTTGTTTAAAAACTCATTTGATTGTGGGCCTATGCTTATTTTTAATTCATGTTGTGTGCGTATACGTAGACTTAAGAAAAAAAAAATCAGATTTTGGGGCTTTAAATTTTTTATTAAATTACATGGGCTGTTACTTCGGCCCATCTAATTATCACTTTTGGGTTACTTTTTTTATTTTGGACAGAGTTGTTGTCTGTTTATGAGAACGAAAGAAGTGCACCAAAGTCCAATATTCACCACCGTCTAGGTTATTGATCCATCAGTTAGGAACATACCACTAAATGTCAATTCAATCGGACCAAATGTACCCCTCTATTATGAATATTGCTTAGTGCTGCCGAAAATAAAAATAAAAACTCATGTATATCACTTAGTTTTTCTGCTTTATCATTTATGTTCTTACAGTATTTAAATAGTGGTTACAAGATCATCTATAGTGTCGAATCTTTTTTTCGAAACGAAAATGCATGAAGTCTGTGGGGCATACATATGTGTACGCATGGCATACTAGTATTGAGGCCAGTACGCGGGGCGTACATTGGTGTATGATGGGCGTACTAAGCAATTTGATCGTGCATGCCTTATGGAGTACGTTGGGCGTACCAGAAGTACGTTAGGCGTACTCCAGTCAGATCCAAACCCTAATTTAGGATCTTGGACCCTATTTAAGCTCTTTAACTCACTACCAAACCCTATTAGCTTTAGCCTCCATCCCTCTAAACCCTAAAAACGAAACACTAGCCCCCATTTGAGTGGTTTTTAAGCTTTTGGTGGTACTTCACGCTTTTTGGTGTTCATAGAAGAAAAAGGAACTTTTTGGAGAAGTGTGGGATTGCTTGAAGCTTTTAGATCCACGCTTGTTGCATCTTGATCTACCCTTTTGAGGTATAAAGTTTTATCTTGATGAATCTAGCATAAAATTTAAGTCAATTTAAAACTTTTTAAAACATTTAAAACCATAAAGTTATTACAGTTTACTTTCGAAATAATTTAAACATCAGAGTATCCCCATAATCAATCATGAAAATGTAAGGAGATGCACGATCACGCCTTCGCCTTCCCGCGATCATCAGAATACCTGAAACAATAATCGATAAATGTAAGCTCGAAGGCTTAGTGAGTTACCCCCAAAATACCAACGCCATACAGATATAACCATATCATATAAACATATAAGCAAACAGCAACAACATGCATAATGAGCCATCAGTCTGAATGGACCGAATCCCGATCCTCAGTCTATCTGGACCGCTCTTCGAGCCTTCGGCACGTCTGGACCGCCCACCTCGGGGCCTTCAGCATATCCGGACCGCTCGTTGGGCCTTCGGCCTGACTAGATTTGTCCGGTCCGTCCAGGGTGTCTTGGCCTACTGCACACAGCAGAACCTGCCTCAACCCTTTCCCCAAACCAACAAACATGTGCACATACATATAAACAAGTAAACATGCAGATCTAACAGATCATTAACATGGCAACCATCCTATAACCAGGATACCGATCTCTAGCATAGCAACCATCCTAAACCAGGATGAAATCTAACATAGCAACCATCCTAAACCAGGATGAAATCTAGCATAGCAATAACATAGCAACCATCCTAAACCAGGATGTAATCTAGCATAGCAATAACATAGGAACCATCCTAAACCAGGATGTAATCTAACATAGCAACCATCCTAAACCAGGATGAAATCTAACATAGTAGTAACATAACGACCATCCTAACCCAGGATGTAAATCATAAAGGGTCGGCCTTGGTGCCGTAGACCCTGTTGATATAGTGAGGATAACTCACCTGGCACTGCTGAAGTCCCGCAGGTACACTCCAGCTGCTGATTGACAGATTCCCGAACTGTCAACATCAAACAATACCCAATTAATAATTCGGTTCCAAGCCCAAGGTCCAACTCACACCACAAAAGCCCAAAAGTAAAATAATGGCCACGGCCCAACATATGGCCCAATTTTCCAAATTGGGCCCAGACCTCTACACGGTCTTTCCTTAAGGCGCATTCGATTATTCCAATCCAATTCCCATGCCCCATTATCACTTAGTCATAAAGGCTCAATTATGGCCCAATTTTCCAAATTGGACCCAAGTCCTCATATGGGCCTTATCCTAAAGCCCATCTACTTATTTTGGTCCATTAACTTGTTCTTGGACAACCCATCAATAGTCCAATAACCAAAGCCCACTAGAAAGGCCCAACCCAAAGCCCAAGTGAAATTAGAGTTTTCACATGAAATGACAGCTAGGGTTAAGTGTCCTACTTAACCCATTAAGGACTTAATCCCCTAAGGACTTAATTCATTAAGTCCAATATTGTCTTAGGTTAATTTGCCAATAATTATTATTATTTAATATTTCAAGTTATTAAATAATTTCGTGTGTGTGCCGATTAGTTCTCAAGAATTAGGGTTTTATGCAATTAGGGTTTTCCAAACCCTAATTAGGGTTTCCTACCCAATACTAGCCCATTAGTCAATTGGTTGGGTTTTTAGGTCACTTTGGGCCTCATTGGGCCCATTAGGGCTTCATTGGGCCCACTAGGGTTTCATGCATCCCAGACGAATCAAACACACCAAGGCGAAGCACACCGCCACCCGACACGACGGTCGGTGGCGGCAGGAGGCGGCAGCCACCACCTCACGGTGGTGGTTATGGATTTTTCTATTATTATTCTTATACCGATTACAATTTACAACCCAATCTAAAACACACTCACACACTAATCTAATAAAAAACACACACACAACCGCATTTTGGCGGCAGGTGGTGGTAGATGGTGGCAGCCACCACCTCACGGTGGTGGTGATGGCTCACTTTTATCCCATAATACACAACACACACTTAATGCAATCCAATAGCAGTACACATACCTAAATACATAGCAAAAACACACACAGCCACCTTCCACGGTAGCTGGTGGTGACAGAACGATGGCAACAAGCGGCGGCCACCATGGCTGGCTTCCATGGTGGTTACTTTCCTCGATCTCCGGCTAGCATCACACGCATACGACATCTCTCTACTAAAACACATACCTAAACGGACATCTTGAGGCAACAACATCGGCGGTCGGTCGGCAATGTATCGGTTATTTGCGATGACAGCCAC